TTGCTTATCACACCATCCTGTTACATTTTCTGTAACGCTTTCAGGACACCTTCCCGTTGACCGTATGGGAGGACGCGTCGTTTTAGGAAAATGGGTTCACCATCCACTTCCATCTTTACCGACGGTACCTTCATGCCAACGTTACCGGAACACTGTACAATCAAATGTTCAAGATATGCAGTGATTGGCTTATCGTTGTTGATATGTAATGTGATGGATCCTTGTAGTAGCCGCATTGCTCCTAGGCCCAGAATAGACGGACTGTGGGATGATACCAGGAATCGGATTGGGATTGATACACCGGATTCAGATTGAACGCACAACAATGTTTCGCCAAGTAATTGCAACTGATGGCCAGTGACCCCATGAATGCGCACTGAAGTCGGGGCTAGAACAGTATTGGGACAAATCGCAGTGCTCATTTCGGTAGGATAAATTTGCTGCTTCCTGTGTCCATGATGAATCGATGCTCCACACCAGACTCGAACCTCAGTGGGGCGAACACGAACTAACTATTGGATTCGGCGGTCTGCAGCGTGTAGATTGGGCTTGAATTCTCATCTGTCGTTGGGATATGGGAATCGACTAGATTGCACTTGGGCATTCGGCATACCTTACGGATATGGCCCATCTTACCGCATGCGTGGCAAGTGGCATTGCAGAGGAGTATCCGCATTTGTGGCAGCACACAGATCATCACTGTTCTCACAGATTTTTCGACCCTCAGCAAACGAGATGTCTTTCTTTTCCAACATCTTACATTGTAATGAGATGTTGTTGATTTCAGCAATGAGACGGTCACAACGTTGTTCTTCCAATCGGTCACCATAGCTGCATTTTGACGCCTGTTTGTTCAACTGGAGAATGAATTCACGGTACGACATGTTGGCAGCTCTGATCACTGAGTTGAATTTGGCCCGTTCAGTGGCCTGAAAATCCACTGGGAGAATGTGGTACAGCAATAGGGATTTCAACTTCTCGAAGGGCAATTCAGCAGGAACATTCGGGAACGCTAGATTCTTCACCAGGCAGTACAGCTCTCGGCCGTTTAACGTCAAAAACAGGACCGAGTGATTTTGCATTCCTCCTTTCCGGATGCTGCACCATAATTCAAAGCGTTCTATGCACTCTTCGATTTCTCATGGGCTTCCATGGAGGTTCAATGGTTCAATGGCAGAAATCTCCATTGCGCGACGCCAAATTGTAGTAATCGCAATAGTACTGAATGTAGGAATACGAGAACCCCTTATTTACTGCTCAGAACTGGATTGAAGGAATTGGAGCATGTTTTATAGACACTAATAGGCCATATGATTGGTGGAAGGAACGTCGTTCAATCACGTAACCGTTTGCACCGACGCATCAAATGTACTAACTCGGGTGTCATGTTCGCCTGGTCTACCGTTGGCTGAGCTCCCGTAATGTCTCTAGCCAAAGACAATAGGAATCGTTGGGGCCCCAGACTGGGAACCCCAACGGAGGCCAGATCCGAGCACAATCTCTTTAACCCTCTGCGCCACATTATAACCTATCCAAATTTTTGTTTTTTCCGTTCCGGACAAATGTCTGCGAATAGTGCACGGCGTTGCAGGCGGTGCTCAGGCGTTTCCAGGACCTAAAACGATGCTGTAAGATTATTTTACTCAGCGGAAGACTATCTGATCCTAGCACACGTCGTCTGATCTCATCGTTATTCACTCGATGCCCCCACTTCTTGACTTGACTGACTTGAATCACCTGACCTCAGGTCAGCTGGTACAACCCCGACTGTCATTAACCTGTTTACCTATACTAACATAACAAGGATAGGACCGAGTAACTGAAAAATAGTACAACCTAGTAGTTAAAAAAGAACGTTTAACTTCGCCATGGCCAGGAAGAAGCGAAAAGGGACTTCTTCCGTGACGACACTTCAATTCTCGTAGAAGACCGTGGAGCAATTGCTAGACAGACTATACACCGGCTGCATCTTAATGAACTGTGGTGACTCGGATCTACGAGATCACGCCTGCCCTGGAGCAGCGCGGTACAGTTTCCGGACAT